AGCATGGACCACCTCCGTGTAAGAGAAGACTAGAGGCAAAAGTAAGGGGAACCCGAAGAGAAATTAGCCTCCTCACAAAGGAAAGCAGACGTGTGAAGCTTATGAGAGAACTGCCCAAGAAATACAACAACTTGCCAATGGATGAGGCACTTGAGAATACCAAGCAATGACTCAGAGCCTTACTTGCTTACCTGAAGAGGTAAACAAGAGAGGGAGAGGCAAGGAGAATAAACATGATGTCCTCCAACAACCCAGTTAGGTCTTATTATCAGTGGCAAGGTAGCAATATTGTAACAGACCTTCCTAAAGCTGAGACAGAGCAATACTGGAAGAGTATCTGGAAGAAGGAAGCGTCACACAATACCAATGCCCAGTGGCTGGCAGACTTACAAGCAGAACACAGCAACCTCCCAGAACAAGAATTAGTAGTCATGAAGAGCTGGCCAGCACCAGAGCAGGCTGTGCAAAGAAGCTCCGATGGGTTTTGCTGTCACCGCTATCAATTTATGGCGTATTCACCTCCTTCACTCGCTTTGAGACCGCATCGAATTTCATATAGGCAGCAGTTGCCCAGCGCCCTCGTAATATCTGCCATCAATGACTTTTTTTCTGCTTCATTTGTCTGGAAATAATAGGCGAATTGAATCCATCCAGCTAATTAACCTTCCTGTGTCAGTTGTCCGATTGCTTTTGCATGCCGGGAAACAGCTTTATTCTCCATAAAACGGGTGCAACTCATAAATTGTAAATGACACATTTCTGTGATCGTTTTTAAATGAGTATAAAGTTATATACAGCTTGATTATTTTATTTAAAATTCATTGGTGTCATGAATGATGGCAAATATGGATTAATTATTTAAACCCTTTCAGGGACAGCGGTTACTACAGTGGACGTTTTCTCATGTTATTAGGTTACAGATTATTGGCACATGAAAGTCTTAATGAAAGGGATGGGGGAGTTTGTACACGTTATCATCAGTCGTACTCACTTTCCCTTGGTAATGCATTCAATTGTTAAGATTGAAAAAAACTCCTACAGTAATTTAAAAAAAATAAGAAAAAGAAAAAAAAATCTATACTGCTTTGCCAGATCATCTTGGCGGAGTTATGGTGCAATCCAGACTTGTAACAAAACCTCATAAATGCATCCTTGGTCTGCTTTTAACCTGCCATCCCCTGGCTCGAGTAGCGGTGAGACTGCAGAGGCGGATGTTTATCTTGCTGAATGCAGCAGGTTGGTGTTGTCTGCAGAACTCATTGATCCAGAGCTGACTGCCGTTTGAGCAATCTATGGCCCACAACCATGGCTGGAAATATCTTTAGTCTAGTTTGATACATTTAAGGCACAGTCAACGGCGCTGAAATAGCACATACTGTAGATTTCAGACATTTTTTACTTACAGTATGTAATTTACTGTACATCTTTCGAGGTCTTAGAAACGTCCATCTTAAAAGGAGATGGCACAAACGGTTTAAAGAAGGGTAGGTACTTTAAAGGTGTGTTCTAAACTTTCCTAACCTATTTGAGTAAAATCACTAAATTCCATCAGTGTCACACATTGGACGCACTGTGTAAAACTGGTGGAGGCTGCTGTATTTCAGGGGGTTTTGTGCTGAAAAGCTGCACCATTGAAAATTCGGAAAAACAGCACAAGCTTAAAAACAAAACAAACAAACAAAAAAAGAAATATGAAGCAATTGAATTGGAAGTGTTAATGGAACAGACAAAAACCCATTACTGAGTTACAGAGGAGAAATGTGTTGCTCTGCTAATTTTGGGGAGCCACCAACCACATAAAAGCCATATTTTGTTTGCTTTAATTCATTTGAGTGAGCAGAGTACACAGAGAAAACTTACCTAGTGACGGGGAGAACATGCAAACTCCACACAGGAAGGCCGTAGCCGGAATTGTACCCTGCAACTCTGCACTGTGAGGCTGACGCGCTAACCAATAGTCGACCACCATGCCGCCTGTTTATTTAACCACCCCGCACAATCGACTTCATCGACTTTGTTTTTTCTGGAGTCATCCATCCATCCATCCACCCATCCATTTTCAGCACATCTGCCTCACAGTTCTGACGTTCTGGGTTAGAATCTTGGCTCTGGCCTTCCTGTGTGGAGTTTGTAAGTTCTCCCCGCACCTGGGTGAGGTGTGAATAAATTAATAACGAAGACAGTAGAAAGCGCAAAACAGTAAAACTAAGATCAAGTCTGAGTCATGCTGAGTCAAAAGCCAAAGAATACAAATGAGTTTTGAGACGAGTTTTAAAGATGGGCAGCCAGGGGGCTTGCCGAATGTTCAGTGGGAGGTCATTCCAAAGAGAGGGACCAGCAACGGAAAAGGCTCGATCCCCTCTGAGCCTCCGCTTAGTTCTTGGTACCTCTAATAATGTTTGGTCCGCAGACCTGAGGCACCGGCAGGTGTATAGGGGCGGAGGAGCTCAGAGAGCTAAGGTGGCGCGAGGCCATTTAAAGATTTGAAAACAAATAATAGGATCTTGAAAAGAACTCTAAAATGTATAGGCAGCCAGTGAAGGGATGCCAGAGTCGGATTTATGTGCTCCCTCTTTCGATTACCAGTCAAGAGGCGAGCAGCAGCATTCTGGACCAACTGGAGACGCTTAATGGAGGATTGGCTGACTCCAAAGTAAAGGGCATTACAGTAATCTAGCCGAGATGTGACGGGGGCACGAATTACTGTTTCAAAGTGCTCATGAGAAAGGAGATGATATGAGACCACTCAATATTTGTTGAATATAGTTGAAGTTGTATGGAGATTTTTTTTTTTTTTTAACTAGGCGGTCCAACATCAGGGCCCTTTGCTTGAAAAAAAAAAGGTTTGAAAACACTGAATAGACTAAGCTAATGTGATAGTGAAACTTTTAGGTGAGACATTGCAACAGACAGCATTGTTATTAAGGCTTCCAGCAACAATATTCTTTGAGAGTTGGCCATATATGTGTTTCACTTTGGGATGAGGCACCAGCGGGTAGAGAGTAAAAAAGAAAAAAGAATCTGCAGGCTGCAATACTAAATCTACAGAGTTGGCCTTTAATATTACATAAGGTCCCTGTTGGAGTCGCAGTCCCTGAGAGGACTCAAAAGGTTAACTCGCTGTGTGTGTTTTGAGATGAGAGCACAATATAGACAGAATGAAAGAGGTGAATAATGAGTTTGATTTATGACTTCTTAAGTCCCCTCAGGCCCCTTCCATCTCTGGGACTTCAGAGGAGATGACATATAAATAGTAGAGAGTAAGCAAAAGCAAAATGACTTTCAACATGGGAGTTGCGCATGACAAAGATATGTCGCCGGCCCCCGTTCATGTCATCTTCTCTCATCCGGGTGATTCATCACAGCTTCAACCGCAGATATCGTGGAAACAAGCAGCGCTGAAATATATTGGGGATTTGCTGGCAAGAGTCTGAATAAACGGTGTATGAGTTCATGAGCTACAGCCACCCGCCCATTAATTCCTAGCAGTGTAATTTGTTAACCTGTATTTCACAATATCTCATCCCTGCGCTGAGCTAGCTGATGATATTTATATCCTAAGACAGCTGAGTGGCATCATTGAACGTCAAGTGACCACTTCTCCTTCTTCCTATTCATCGTACTCAGGCTTTGAATCCAAATATTTATCAACCCTGAAGGCCACCGTAATTCCCAAGTGGACTGCAAAAATGTTAACAGAGCTGTATGAAATGTAAAATCAATTTTTAGACTATTTTCGAAGGACACATTAGCATCTGGAGCTCGACTCATTCCCTCGAGAGTTCCTCCAATCAACACTCTATATTGTTTACAATGCCAAACATTATATCATAGCAATGGTATTATGCTTGCAGGTGTAATGACTACCACTGTCGCAATTTATGTTTTGGTGCTTCAAGCGTGCATCCGTAAATTACCATAATGCACAAAGGACAGCCAAAGTTAATGGGAATACGGTTGTGCTTAGGCATTGTATGATGACATGTAACAAACAGAGCATGAATGTTGTTGTCACGGTAATCCACTCACCAGATGTCAGGCAATTTATATCACATGCATGGGTCGAATGGAAAAAAAAAATTGGAATGATTTTATTATTTATTCGTGTTGTTTGTTTGTTTTTAAGGACTGTAAAAAGTCCTTTGTAGGTTTAAATGTTTAACAGCTCTATATACAACTAACACAATAAAAATAAAAACAATGTCATATTAAAATGGAGCATTCTTATCAAAAGGCTGACTCAGGTTTTTTCATTTTTCTTCTTTATTCTTGCTTTATAGGAATTGCTGCGGATTACATCAATTCATTCAAAGTGATTTTAGCTCTCATGTGTTGGATGCCGATGTGTTGATATGTGTATTTTGAAAAATACACATTTTAAATATCAGAATAAAATTAGACGGCAGCACACTGGTCGACTAGTTTGCATGTCGGCCTCACAGTGCAGACGTGTAGGGTTGGATTCCGGCTTCGGCCTTCCTGTGTGGAGTTTGCATGTTCTACCCATGCCTGTGTGGGGAGGTTTTCCGAGTACGCCGGTTGCCTCCCACATTACAAAAACATGCGTGGCAGGTTGATGGAACACTCTAAATTGACCTATGGTGTGATGTTTGTTCGTCTGTGTGTGCCCTGCGATTGGCTGGCAACCGGTTCAGGGTGTACCCCGCCAACTGTCCGAAGACGGCTGGGATAGGCTCCAGGACACCCTGTGACCCTTGTGAGGATAAAGCGGATCAGAAAATGGATGGATGGATGGATGGACGGATAAAATTAGTCACTCATTTTCATATCTCCATACCTTGCTGTACAATGCGTACAACATTGCCACTTCAAATTCAGATAATGCGTTTCAAATTGTTTCTTAAAAACTGTGCACACTATCCACCCATTCATTTTCCGCACGGTTTACTGTTATAATTGTGGTCTCTTGAGCCCAACTTTGCTTTGATTTTACCCTTCAGAAGTTTAAAAGAAACACTTTCATCTCTCTCTTTTTGCAGATACCTTGTCCCCCCCTGTCAATGTTACCATCAAAGCAGTGAAAGCTAACTCTGCTCTGGTGACATGGGACATCCCCGAGGGAGACCCTGTCATTGGCTTTGCCATCACACAGCAGGTGATTGACATCCAAATACGACAAATGCTGCACGCTCAGTATTTTGTTTAAATAAATACTGGACATCAAGGAGGTTACTTGCACGCATGGACAAACTACTGGAGACAACATACATATGAAGTTTTGCTTCATCACTGCTGCTTGATGTAATGCCCTGTTCTCCTCGTTGTGTAATTCCCTTCCTCTAGCCTCTAAGATTCATTATGGGAACGAGCAAAGGAGTCGAGGCCTTGTTTGAATGCTCTCAGAAAGTAACTCATCAGAGTGTAATGGGTTTCCTAATATCAAACAGAAATTATTCATTTGCATCACTTCACTAACAGATTCAGGGCCGGTGTGGCTCACTTGGCAGCAGGAACAATAACATTAGTGGGAGAAGCTCAAAGGTCATAGCAACAAAAACCTCCCTGCAGTAGTGGGAGACTTAGCTGACACTCAGAGAATGTGTAAGTGGAATAAAATAATGACCAATTTTTACTTTTTTGGACGAGATTTTTGAGTGCGTCTTCGGGAATTTTCATTCATTCTTCAAGAATAACATTTAGGAGGTCTGGGCTTGCTGATGCTGAACAAGAGGGAGTGGCTTAAAATATCTATTCGAGTTCATCCGAAAGGTGTTTGATGGCATTAATATCCCTTTAACGATCACATCTGGAGTCTTGCACTCGGGAACACTTATGCTATAAAGATAGTTGGGCTCAAGAATTAAGATTTAGGGAAACTCAGTAGTTGTCCAGAAGTTGCAATGATCATCTTACGAAGAAATCCCTTTTTCGTTCAAATATATAAGTGTGCCGTTTAATTTCTTGTTGGAGATGTGTGTTCCTCCAGAGTCGAACATTCTTCCATACAACTCTCCTGTATTATGCGCCAACAGAAGAAAGACGTGCGTATGCTACGATTCATCCAGGAAGTCAACACCACCACACGCTCCTGTGCATTATGGGACTTAGAGGAAGAGACAGACTACATTGTGCACGTGCAGTCCATCAGCATGTTTGGGACGAGCCCGCAAAGCGAACCTCTTCGCTTCCGAACACCGAAGGAGGCCGAGACTCAGGCTTCTAAGAATAAAGGTAAAGTGTCACGGATCACATGAATACAAATAGGCTTGCACCGCTTTTGTGTGTTTGTTCTTGAGCCAGAAGTTGCAGAGTTGAAGTCGGCCTCTTGATGCAATCATGACTGATTTTGTCCAAACACCAATAAAAATCAATATGAACACAAAGCGTGAAATGAAATTTCACAACAGTGTGCTCGACACAGCCAAGGGGGCGTATTCTTCATTGTGTATTGACGTGGCCTCTTCAGGCCACCTTTCTGGCAACCGACACCGCTGTACAGTTAACCGAAATAAGAGTGAGGAGGGAGCATTTATCAGTTGCCGGCCGGACGAAGCCGCAGCTGCAAGGGATGGTAAATCACTGCGCTTTTGGCTGAAGCCTTATCTATAGTATTCGTCCTCATCCTCATCTCATGCGTGACACTCTGCAGGACTCCTCCCTGAAATTGGAGCCAAAGAGAGTTTGAACTTCTTTCGCAGTTGCAAGATAGTGTGGAATACAAATGGAAGTAGCATCATTGCCAAAGATTGAACAGACGCGCTTTCCACTACTGAGGCATTAACTCTAGAAGTGTTGTTTCAGGGTTGTTACTGCAAGGGAAATGTTTTTAAATCAATAGCTGGACAGGTTTTGGAACACATTTTTTTTTCTTACTTTCTTTCAAGTTTAATTTAGTGTACTGCCTTACACTCATTTATTTGACATTGATCACTTTTAATCCTCTTAAATATTAACTTTTTTGTCAAAGAAATGAATAAAGATGTGTCACATTGGGTTTGCACAGATATCACGGAGCGGCCTTCAATTCTCATGTTTTGCACATTTTCCAGCCAGAAAATTTTAAATGATGTTCCACTTTGTCATTGCATTTGCAGGATCTTCCAACCTCACAAGAACATGGCAAAAAAAATACTTTTTTTTAAACTTTTCTTTTTAATCCTTCCCCAAAATTCAAAATGTGAGTGGAACCTCAGGAGTTGAAAATTGCTTAACCTTTCAGTTCGTTCATTCATTGATTTTCAGAGAGGCAGAATACACCCGGGACTGGTCACCAGTCAGCCGCAGAGGACCAAAAAAGCATTCATATTCACACCAATGGTCAAATAGTTTTCAATGAACCTACAATGTATGTTTTGGGAAAGTGTAAGGAGGCCAGACTACCAAGAGAAAACCTACAGTATGTAGGCATGAGAAGAACATACCTGTACTGTACAAACACCACACAGGGAGGTAGGGCCCAAAGCTTCAACTCCAAACTAAAAAATAAATATTAACGTACTTAAACTTGAACCGTCGTGATGAGTGACAGAAGCTGTGAGCATAAGAGTCGCTGCAACCTGTTGAGTCGAGATTCCACTGCACATGCCGAAGAATGACCTGTATCAACTAACAAGATCAAATCTTTTCTCGGGTTTTTGAGACAGCTCTTGTTTTGGATCTCATTGTGCTGCACAAATATCTGTGCTGTTGAAGGAAATGTGTATTTCTGCAGGGACTTTGGCTGTTGTGGTTTAAAAGGGTTACAGTTTGGCCAGTAAAGCTGAAAGAATGAAAAGCCCAAGCACCCTTTGGGCATTTGTGCTTTGATTAGTTATTACTGGGCAACAGAGGCCAATCGATCAGCAGAACTGCGTCTTTCTGAAAGCTACTGGAGCATGGGGTGCATGCTTGCCACGCCGGGGCCTCAAAATGTCACCCAGTGTGAGGGCAGCGCTCTACACTGCGGTGAACTTTATATCAAGGCTGTGACTTCAACAACACTGAGTAATACCAGAAAAGTGGCGGGTTAGTGCCCAAGCGCACCTTGGCAGTTGACGGCATTCAGACTATCATTTCGACAACAACGTGTTGCCATTTCTTGAATCTGCAAATCCCGCCTCTCGCGTTCCAAAGATGATGAGCGATTGGCCTCCAAGATCAGCGCAACTCACCACTAAGGATCACAAAAATGGAAACACAACAGACTCAGCATCTGAGTAATCCCCTGACAATTATGTTGCCTTCTAATTCTCACAGACGAAGTAACAATGGAGGAAGTGGGCCAGACCAACCAGTTGAGGGCGGGTGAGCTCATCATCATTGTGGTGGTGCTTATCATGTGGGCAGGTGAGGATCACGTAAAATTCTATAGAATTATAGAGACTCTCTCAGGAATTGTTTGTGACTGTTGAAAGGTGCTCAAGAAAGAAATGGAATGTTTTTTGTTGTTTTTATACATCACAACAGACTGTATCATTGCTATCTTCAGATACCATGCACACTCCTTGTCCTGTCAGCGGCATAGGGAAGACATCAGAGAAATTGGACTTTGGTACTTTGCTGTTAATCTTTTGAACCCCCACTATGAGTGGGTGGCAGGAACCAAGAATAAATGTGGTGAAGAGCGAAAATTTCTAGCTCATACCCCCCTAAAAAGATAAATAATTGCCTGTACAACATGGCAATAAAGCACCGAAACTCACTTCAACATAGTTCCTTGGCACCAAGACGACATAAGAAGATGGCAAAGCAATGCTTTTACTGCGGAATAATAGGGGATAGGTTTCACCCCCCCACCCCCTAAAAAAAAATAACGGAGAAACTGCTGAGTCATAAATATGCGGAGTTCACTGTACCTTATTATGCCTGAAGTGATCTTTTCATAATGCCTCCCTTTGTCTATTGGGTTAAAAAAAAAAAAATCAAAGATAACCCTATGCAGTTTGATGTTTTCTCTGTTCAAACTTCAAAATAACAAATTATAATTTAATAATAATTGCCCTATTGGAAATAATAGAATTAGATACCTAAAAATTCATTCCCTAGACTAAACCTTTTCTACTTTGAAACAATTCAGTACTATAAATTATCTCAACATAGGGCTGGGCGATAATTCCATATCATTATGTACCGTCATGGACATGTGATCAATATCAATATAAAATGCCTTCAATAAATGTTTGGATAGAAAAAAATCAGGAAGCAAACCTAACCTCGGCATTGTGCATGCTGTAGGCAGAGACTACAGTGTGACATGAGATTTTGTGTCACAATTCCAAACACCTAAGAGGACATTTTGAGCACAAAAGCTCAATAAGCAAGCTCAGTGTATTTTTAGCTAATTAATTGTAATGACTTACTATTTTTTTTATTTATATAAGTTATTTAGTGTTAGTCATGCCCCTAGATACTGTTCACCCATTGGCTAGCGATGCATATTTAAGGTTGGATCTGATTGGTCAAAGTCAGATGAAAACACACAATTCCATATGAAACTTACTGCACTTCTTTGTGATACTTATGTATTGCATGGGCCATTATCACAATAACGATATTTCTTTCATATATTTTGCAGTTTTAACCGCCAGTATTACAGGTTGTTCTGAGCAGGTTGTGCATTTTGTTGTCTGAAAGGATCTGAGCAAGTTGTGCATTTTGTTCTCTGAAAGGATCTTAAATAATAAAGCATGTATATCCCGATTGATTTTCGGCCTCCACACGATAACTGTCGCTCAAAAGCTGATCGAATCGTTTTGGCTGATCGTTTTGATTCTCTTGTTCCCAGGCGTGATCGCTCTCTTCTGTCGCCAGTATGACATCATTAAGGACAATGAGCCCAACAACAACAAGGACAAAGCCAAAACCTCATCAGAGTGCAGCACTCCTGAACACCCGTCAGGGGGTCTGTTGCGCAGTAAGGTATAACCCACCCACACCCTCCTCCCCCGAGGTGCCTCCCCAACACCTCAACAGTGCCGGGCAGGTGAATGGTGCCGCCCGCCGCAAGACCTTTTCCACTTGACATTCATGTGCACTCATACAGTGTTTCTCAATGTCAAACAAAAAAACGTCTATGACAATGCTGCCTGCGGTTGGTTAGGACTCCAACAAATGACTCTCCTGTATATTGCCCGCCACCTGCATAATACTCCCCATTATACTGTATGTGCTTCACCTTTGAGGTAATGAGGCATAAGTGAGCGAGAAATCCCAAACAGGGCATTGTAAGTGAGGTCAAAAACGGTATAAACAATTGCAATAAAAAGGACGAGAAGCCTTTGGAATTCCCACATTTCTGTATAAATTGGTCATAAAATGTGATCTTAATCTTAGTCACAAGCAAAGGCAAACAATTTTCAGTTTTAATTGAGTCAGATCTCTGTCTGAGGCACTAGAAATTTTATATTTTGCACTGTTAAAGTCATTCTATTGTTGATTTACTTTTGGGTCATTTGGGTTGTTGCCCTGTTCCTCCTCTGTTACCCTTTAATTGGCAAATAAATGGTATGAAGTATGGGAATTTGTTTTTTCCGTAGATAATCGCAATTTGTCCAGGCCGTGAGGATGCAAAGCACTCCCAAAGCATGATGATCCCCCCCCACCATGCTTCACATAACATTGTGTGTTCTTAACAGATGACTCAATTTTAGTTTCATCCGTACGCAGAAGAGATGAACAGCAACACTTGCTTCAGAGCTGTACCAGTGATATTTTTCAGACAGCAGTGGTTTTGACAGTGGTCTCCTCCTGTGATATCCATTCCTTGTTTGTTTTACTGATGATAAATCTGTCAACAAAGATGCCATACAATATGTCAGAGATTTTTAGAGTCTTTAGCAGACGCTCGAGGGTTCTTCTTCACCTCGTTGAACATCTCCGCTGTGCTCTTGCAGTCATCTCTACAGGACCTCCATTTGTAGGGAGGGCAGTAACAGTGTGAAATTTATTGACCCTCTGTCTTAGCACATAGACTGATGAACAGATGGGCTTTTAGAAATACTTTTGTAACGCTTTCAAGCTTCATGCAAGACAACAACTTTTAATTATGCATCTCCTGAGAATTTTTTTTTAGTGCGAGGAATGATTCACATCAGGCAGTGCTTCTTGAAAATGGCAAACTCAAGACTGATGTGCCATTTCAATCGCGCAACATTGACTGGAGTCAAGGTTGGCTGACTCCTGACTCTGAATAGCTCTTGGAGACAAGCTCACAGACATTTTCCACCCTGCAAAGTAAATATTTACATCGTGTATCTAATTAAAATATAGAATAATGTGGTATTAGTTTCAGATGACTGTGTTTGTTGTTGCTGTGACTGTTTTGAAGATCAGATCGTTGAGACATTGTGATTGATGAGACAGCAGATGAAGATGAGCTGAGTCAAAAAAATTGTCATTAACAGCTTGACCGCTACATGTTTTTGATATGTTGGCACCAGAGCAGCTCCTCTCAAATTGGAACCGGAAGTCATGCCCCCAGCAAAGTATGAAAAGTGCCATAACGTAATTGCATCACGTTTATCCAAATGTTAACCAACATGTAATTGGTTCTTCCTTGAAAAATGTGCCAACCGCTCCGAGTTATGTTGTAATCCTTAAACACCTACATTCACAAACGAGCTATGGTAGCTAAGTAACTTAGAGACAAACAAACAGCAATGATTAACCATGAACATAAACAAACCATCCTTCTGATATTCACATTTTTGTGCTTGCACAAGTTAATAATCACAAAATGGTTATCTTGCTGTAATTTCATGATGTACGCTTTATTAAGTCACATTCAGTAATCCCCGTGATTAGAGTCCAATGGTTTCTACATTACTTGAAGTTGTTGCATTGAAATAAGCTACGTAATTAAATAACGTGTAGCAGAAATTTTCCCTTCAATGCTTAGAGGGAATCAAGCATCTTCTGAAGAACCAAGGAAACATTTGCGGAAAGCATACTTGACATTGACAAACACCCACAGCGTCATCGAGTAATCAGCTTCAGGCTAAATTGAAATATGGCTTCAATGTGGCTCCATTTGTGCATGACTGCAGCAAACACGCTCAGGCTCTTGCAAACAATGCAAACACGAGTGCGACAGTCGTTTTTGCCAATGTACAGTATGCATCAGCCTAAATCAAGCAAAACAAAAAGCCCTTCATCGTTGAATACATAAGCAGCACAAGAGGCATCCTCATGCTCATTGTTTAATTCCTGAGAGCCCTTCCGGGATCTTCAATCATTTCATTTTCTCTTCTCCCACAGTTCTCCAAGAACAACAACAGGATGCCATCTGTCAACATCATTGAAGTGTGACTGTCTTCCCTATACACTAAAGACTTGGTCTCACAAACCAGCAGGCCCTTTTAGGCAAATCTGCTTGTCAGGATGCATCACGTACGTCTCGCTTGCCGCGGGCCTGCCAATGAAGCAAAGCTTGCGGGGACTCCAGGGATTTAGGAACAACTTGGCCAGCGTAAGAAGAGATCCCAAAGTGGAGCGACTTCAGGGAGAGTTGAGCGGATTTGCCATGATTAACAACTACCGTACCATGGGGGAGGCAGAGATTAGGGCCAAATGGTCCTGGCAGTGGACAAACTGCTGATAAAGCAACCCCTTGGACCAATGTCGATAAAGCTGAGCCAGAGACCTTTTCATCCGCTCTCCCATTTCTTCTCTGTCTTTTAGTGGGTCGTGATTTGACCGTACATACAGTGTGTGAGGGGTTCCCACTGTGTCTAAATGTTCCTTTGTGGCGTAATTTAATCCCATCATCTAGATGTTGTATTGTTCTAACATTCTTTCAACCAATGTATTTTTATTTATTTATTTATTTTTTTATGAGTGACGCAGCCTCATTTGTATTAGTTGTCAAAAATATGCCCTCCCGCCCACCCCACACACTAAAAAAATATTCCTCTTGATTAGTCAACCTCTAAATGTAGCAAGGGTCCTTCAACACGATAAAGCCATGGCCCATCACACTCAAGAACTCAAGTCGTAGTTTTTCAAAAGGTTATTTCATTCTTTCAACCAATGTATTTTTATTTATTTATTTTTTTTATGAGTGAAGATTAATAATTTATCATTCAAGTGCTGTTTTGTTCCACAATGTACTGCCAGTACATTTCTATTGTTCTGGTACTTCTTCGACCTCATCAAGGTAGAACGCGCAGCCGTCTTTGCGGGGAATATATGTCTGGCCGGCTTGTTTTCCCCCCTCAGGGAATCCAGACTGCACCTGGCTGAGTGCGGAGCGATTTCTAAAAATGAACTGTGATGATGCTGTCGCAACTTCCAAAGGATGGCTCACTGCTAAAGTTTGCTGTCATGTTGGGTCACATTTTCCTTTTTAACATCTCCTTGTCTCGTTTGTGTTTTTTAATAGATTAATAGATTCGGATTCTTGACATTCCACATCCTGAATGAGATGTCTTTATTTATCTTTTAGGGTGATGGATCTCAGCATCCTGGGTGAAAAGAGGACTTGACCCAATGTGTTTCATCTAAATAATGAATTCTAAAAGAGTCTCGGATACGTCTACAGAGAAGTGGCCTTGGTAGAGACACTAGAGGGCATTCCTGAAGCAATAACAACTCTAAGCCCCATCACATGGGGACAAGGACTTCATGTGCAATGGGGTCACGTTCTGTAGAAAAACAACACACAAATGTAACCTCTAGGCATGCAATGTTGAGACAAATGAACATTGTGATAAATAGTCATGATTACAACGGGCCTCCGATGTTTGCTTTCTTGTAATGAACAGGTGTCATCAAGGCATAAGGGCTTTTCATGACAATTTTCAATTCCAAATTAGAATTTATCCCAAGGCTGTTAAACATACAAATATGGTGTATTGTAAACTGAATGGAAACTAGAATTGCAGTATTTAGTATTGACTTTGGGGGCCTATTGCGCTTCTTTCGGTTCATTTTTTTTTTTTTTTACTTACTGTAGGTAGGATTGTTGAAAGTTAAATAAATGTGATCATGAATTTAGACTGCCCATTCAAGCAGCCTCATTTGTATTAGTTGTCAAAAATATGCCCTCCCGCCCACCCCACACCCTAAAAAAATATTCCTCTTGATTAGTCAACCTCTAAATGTAGCAAGGGTCCTTTAACACAATAAAGCCATGGCCCATCACACTCAAGAACTCAAGTCGTAGTTTTTAAAAAAGGTTATTTGAAGTTGAACCCTTTCAGGGACAGCGGTTACTACAGTGGACAGCTTATCAGGTTATCAGGTTACTGGTTTTCATTATTGGTGCAGGAAAGGGTTAAATCTTTTTTTTTATGAAGTAGAATTTCTTTGGCAATTCATTGGCAAGCCAGAGGGCTGATTCCAACCCATGTGTACTCCAGGATATCGAGATTAAACATTTTACTTATTAATGAGATGCTGTTAATGTTCAGTAAGAGTGGAAGAAGTCGTTTACTAGCTTGAATCTTGTGTTGTCGGACTGCACACACAACAATAATACAACTTTTTTTTTAACCCATACGGTCCTTATCCTTTTTTTTTTCTTTCTTTTTTACATTGGAAAAAATATTGACCCCATTTCATGACAAAACTATGATGCTGGTCATAACACAACAATTATTGCAGGGCGTTGCACTAATGTAGTCACTTAGCTGACCTATAGGGTCCATGCTATATTATACTGTAGTGGAAGAACAAAGCGATAACATTAGTCTGATGGTTACACTTGAGCGCAGCGAGACTGCACTGATGACGGCTGCAGTGACAGCCTTTTATCAGTCTGTTTTTTCCCTTTTTTAAATTTTTTTATTTTTTATTTTTTTATGAGGACTCTGACAAGTGCTCACTCATTTTCTGTTTCGGCCATAGTGGCTTTGGAGAAGACAGGCATTGAGCTCCAATTGAAGGGTACCTGATCTGAAAACAGTGTTCCATCTGCACTGGACAGAAAAATCTGAGCTCTTTAGCTTTGTGATACTGTAGAGGGTTAAATTAATTTTCCCTATTCCAATTAATAGCATCCACTCAGATAAACAGCAGCCATTTTGTACAATATCAAAAATAATCACCGCAATATTATGTTACGCAACACCTAAAAATATTCCGGCCATGGCAAAATGGAAATTGCATGAAAAAGGACAGAAAAACGTGTTTAAAAAAAAGAACAAGACACCAAGATTCTTTGAAATTGCTTGATAAGGACAAGGGTCAAGACATGTTTTTAACCCTTCCAGGGATAGCGGTGACTACGGTGGTCAGCTTGTTGTCAGGTTACAGGTTATCATTTTTGGTTCATGAAAGGGTTAAAATTTCAAAACAACAATAAAAATGGCACTGACTATCTTAGAAAAACACGATTTTCACTCACAATATGTTGTGGCTTCATGTTGTACAAGTAGTGATCCGTAATTGGTTTTACACAAGGGGTGGATTCATGAAGGTTGTCAGAATGTTCCACACATTTGTTGTTCTAATGCTCTTTGACAAAACACTCATTTATATTCAATTTGTGTAAAGATGTAGGAGTGTACAGCTCATGTGGAGGTGCTGTATTTGATTTGAGCAGTTTGCATATATTGACACCCATTGAATATTGCTGTTCTACAAATATTTTAGAAAACCAGAATCGATCATGGCATTGTCTTGAATAATGTCTTTGAAGCGCTTTGGTGAAAGCTTTTTTTGAGATGCTGGGACCTCGCTTTGAATGCAACCATCCCACATGCTTTTCGCTCCCATCAGTTTATTGAACACGTGTTTTATAGGAATTCGAAAGCGTGTCTGGAAACAAAGTCACCACTGAGACAAATCAGCCTGTTTCAGTTGTGAATAACGAAAGTGGACCAAGAAGCATGGTTAAAGAATAAAAAATGCTTTCTTAATCCAAGCATATTTCTATTTATTGTATAACATGTACGGCAGTTGTTGCTTCATGAGGGCTAGCATGGTTTAAATAAACTGTTCTGCACAAGGTGACACGACTTCAATTATGAAGTATCTGGTGTGTGCTTACTTGTGTTGGCTTCAAATAAAGTATCAAATATTTTCTCCAAATAACAGTCTGAATTCTTTCATGCGGGACAATGTTGGTGGGATGTAAAATTTGCTCTGCTGCCGTCTCAATGTCTCTGGTCATAAGGCAACAGTTCTGTTGTTGGGCTCATGGAGAAAAAGTGCATGAATCCAAGAAGATTCCATGAATAATACATTTGAAGCTTGGGATTCCCCAGGCATTAACTGTCAGACTTCTCAGATAACTCAATCTGATAAATAAGAAACATGTCAACAAGTTTCGGCCTGCAGGCAGCAGGGATCTTGAATAGGCTGGCCTTTTAGATAGGTTGGCTAATGTGTGTGACAGCTGTGTGAACCACTAGTGCACAAAGCTATTAAAGCGTACTATATCCATAGATATGGAAAAACAAATAATTAGCCTTTTCAGTATCCTCCCCATTCATCCAATTACGGTTAAATTAATATTCTAATAATGTACTTTATACCTGTGGGTATTAGAATGTTAATTGAATACCATGGCAGTTGAAAATATTTGAGAAAAGCATACCTAAATGTGAAATGACAAGGACAAATCTGAATTGAGAAAATGATCATCCATAAGGTGTGCCCTGTGACTGCCTGGCGACCAGTTCAAGGTTATTCCGCCTTTCGCCCCAAAGTCAGCTGGGATAGACTCCAGCAATTCCTGCGACTCTCTTCAGGATAAGTGGTGTTGAAAATGGATGGATGGATGGATCGTCCATATGTGTTACTGGGAACAGAGGATCAACGTCGACATGCCCACAAGGGATAAAATATCTTGAACCACACGCAGAAACACATTATGGGTTAAAGAAGAAAAAGAGGAGCATCCCTGTAATTGGCCCAAGAGGAGAAATGTCATTTACCCTCTCCTAACACATGCACTACACCATATTTTACTGCATTTATGATAAAGGTTTTTTAGAGCATTTCTATTATCAACCCAGCCGCTGGGGAGCAGTGCCCTCCCCTGGGGGTACACTGTTCCCCGGTGCCGGTCCCGAGCCCGGAGAAATGGGGAGGGTTGCGTCAGGAAGGGCATCCGGCGTAAAACTTTTCCCAAGACGGACATGCGAGTTGATAGGGCGGTTTGCAGGGACGGATGGGAATTAATGACTCGCTGTGGCGGCCCCTGAAAAGGGACGTGCCGAAAGGAGAAGAAGAAGAAGAGCATTTCTATTATCAATTTATCCAAATCATGTTCTTATGCTGCACATTCTTTCAGTAACCACTTTGCTTCTTTTTTTTTTACTGTACATTTAATGTCTTAAATTTCAGTTTTTTTTCTTTAATTGTCCTAAATACTTTCCCCTTTAATTGTTGCACCTTGCCTTTAAACATTATCTTTTAAGCACATTGCACCTTGTGGATTAAATGCACTGTATAAATAAAGTTGACTTGCCATGCATTCACATACATACATGTATATAGAAATAAACCCATTAAATAGCACGAAAGAGGACAGCTGAAAGATGACCTTCATGAAAACTTGAAGAGCAATACCATTCATCCATCCATTTTCCAATCCGTTTTAATCTCACAAGGGTCGCGGGGGGACACCTTGAACCTGTTGGCAGCCAATCGCAGGGCACACAGAGACGAACAACCATCTGCGCTCACACTCACGCCTATGACAAATGTGGAGTGTTCCATTACTGTAACTCGCCATGCATGTTTTTGGAATGTGGGAGGAAACTGGAGTACCCAGAGAAAACCCACGCAGGCATGGGGAGAACATGCAAACCCCACACAGGAATATGGCAAGCCATTTGAGCATTTATTCCAAATCCCTGATGTCAGACATGAGTGTGTGACACTAGTGCGATCTCTTTCAGCACTAGTTCGACACTCAGCCACACTAGTGACGCACTTTGTCGAACTAGTTGCACGGAAATCCTCAATAACTCAAATGGCTTGCCATACAGAAAAGCCGGAGCCGAAATCGAACACTGCACCTCTGCAATGTGACGCAGACGTGCTAACCACAGCCGTCGGGCGTGCTAACCAGTCTTGCACCGTGCTATTGCGATTAGTTTACTACAAAGCTGATGGCTTCATCCTGCAATGTGTGTGTTAAGCCTATCAATAAAAGCATGTCAGTTAAAACGAGAGTGTATGTCATTCCCACATCCATTACATCTCTGCCATCTGTCACATTAGTTAAATATGGGGAAAACGTGTAAATACTAAAGGACCTGGAAGAAGTGCTACCTTAGCGATGACAAAACGCGGTCCTACAGCTCCCCCTGCTGATGTTAATGTGGAAACCTCAGGTCTGCTGTCCTGATTCAAAGCTATCTAGGCTGGTGAAAGAGCAAAAAAAGATGTGCTTGGAGAAAGAATTTCCCCAAATGTGTGATGACATTATTAGTACAGTCGGAATTTGTCAGTGTCCTTAGCTGGAACATTAGCATGGTCACAATTGTTACGTTTCTGTAAACAGAAGCTTACAAAGGCCCAAGTAATGAGTAGCTTTACATTACTGGATTCCTCGGCCAGAGTCGGACTCATATTAAACCCTGGAGTTTCATGGCACAGACCGGGCCCCCCTCATATTTAAATATGTGCTGTTCATATATTTCAGTTTTTTATAATACATTTCTAGGCGGCCCGGTGGTCCAGTGGTTAGCGCGTCAAACTCACACTGCAGAGGTAATCTGCATCTTAAATCTCCTCACAATTAAAATAATCTTCTCTTGGTTTAATATTTTTGTTTTAATCAGAAGACAGCTAGGATAGGCTCCAGCACGCATGAGGATAAGCAGATCATGTGTTGGATGAATGTTTTATTTAGTTACTTTTATTTTCTTTAAGTGCTTTTTACTTTTACCTGAGTGATACTATTCTAAAGAGACAGTACACTTATTTGAGTACCAGTTTTGGCTACTCTGCCCATCTTATGTTAAAAGCAGGGAAAAACGTTTGCCTGTTAGTTGGAAATTTTATCAACAAAATAATGTAGACACGAAACTGAGTCGTTTAATCTCTACAAATATCGCGAGACGGGACGTTACGATTAGTGGAGAGATGGAAAAACCTAAAAGTCGCAATTGCACTTGATCGGAAATTGTAGAAATATCAATTTTATTTTGAGAAAAACTATCTTGGCAACCCAGAGACACCAATCAGACAAGAGAGGGCAGCAGAGGAAAAGTACAGTAGTAGTGATATTTGTTTAAATATTAATTGGGCACTGCATTGCATTTTAATATGTAGGGTGACTATCTTTTCCATTTTAAAAGGTAATAGAAATTAATAGCAATATTCAAGTTATTTTCTCTTCAACATGTTTTGCATCCCACCTGCCTAAATGGCAGCAATAATAATAATAATAATAATAACAATGCCGTAGGATGCACACAGTCGCTGATGCAATCTGTTGGCCTTTTTCAATAAACGAAACGGTAACAAAACCCATCCACACTCGAGCTGCTGATGGCCACAATTCACGCCCAAACACTCACCTTTCACTGACGTCACCCCCTACTCGAGTGGTCCCGCCCCCTCACATAACAAATAACAATAAACCGATACTACAATAATAATGATGATGATCATGGTGATAATGATGATGATGAAGAAAAATTAAAAAAAAAAAAAAAAAAAAAAAACAAACAAAAACATCAACTTGGGATGAAACTACTAAATTTGAACAAGGCCCTACGTCACTAACGCCTCAACGTGCCGGTGTGTGCAGTCTGCCAGTTTAGTGAGACCTTGTTCCAGTCCACACTTTCGAAGAAGCGTCTTCCTTGGACTACCGTGGAGGGTCGATGTTGTGTGTAAGACGAACTTCGCTGTCGCAATCGTCGTCTTTTTTTTTGTGCTAAATACGAATAAATGCGATTTGCGAGCTAATATCAGCGTGAAGCTGAAGTCGCCGCCGGCGGAGAGCATAAAAATGCGCGCAATGGAAGTAGATTTGAAATTCAAGATAATTCCCGATTGACTGCAACGTCAGTTACTCATGCATCAAAAGTGACTGAAACGCGGTCGGTTTATCGCGAACTAACTTTGTTAGTGGAATAATTACTGAAATTTGTTCCCTCACCGTGTGTGTTTTTCTGGTAATGAGTACTTATTTTTTAAATCATATTTTGGGACTTTTGGGATTCTGACATAAAATAAATTAGAGGTTCAATGGTTACGTTTGAAAAGCTTAAGGCCTATAAGACGTGGGTGCAAAATTCAATGCATGTACTGTATTACATTTTGGTGACCAGGATTGAGAAGTGTTAGCTGTGAAATAGTTGGGATTTATATAGGTAGTAGATAAAAAAAAAAGTGTCCCAAATGATGCAGTTTTACGCGATCATGAAATTTGTCACCTGATTGTGCTCTAGCCTACCTAAAACTGTTTCCAAACATTTATTTGAGCCAAGCACAAATTTTACCTACGAAAAACTACACAGCACCAAGCACAGTTACAAAAATTCTGCAAACTAAAGTAATGATGACATCACACATTTACATACTGGGTGTGAAGTATTTCTGTTGCATGAATGACAACAGGTGCATACACGTTTATCGTACCTTCTGCTATCCACACGTCGCTGGCATAGATAGGATCCTGATGTCTGACAGCACACTTAAGGCCTTGTTAGACATTACTTTTTTTTTTTCCGTCAAGTTCATCAGTGACGAGAGTCACTAGACCCTCCCCAATCATTGCATGCTTCCATCAAGATTCAGTCCACCGATGCAGGTCTGTCGGGGAGGTGGGAAAAGCAGCTGTCAAAGTCATGTCGACAGAGGCATTATGTGCATTTGCGTGTGTTTTCTGCTCAGAAAAAGCAACAAAAAAAAGGGGGGGGGGGACTATGGACCCATTCCTGATTGGTGGGGAGAAAAAAAATTACTTGAAAAACTAATGACGTGACAAGTCAAAATCAGGCCACATTCATGTAGTCTGACGTTGGCATTATGTGTCACGCCACATAAGTTAGGAATTATTGTCATATGTCCTGTATTTATATGGCTTTGAGGTTGGTTGATTGTACATGTGGAAGTGAGGAATGAGTAAACATACTTTATTCTCTCTTAACAGGTTTGGATTAAAACATGCTGCCCAAGCGCTCCACTTTCGACCATCTTAAAGATAAAAACATGCCATCCAAGAGCTCCACTTTCAGACACCTTAAACCTTTGTCAGCATATGGAAGGGCGGCATTTGCTGAGAGGGATCGGAACAAGTTTCCGGAACCAATTACTAATTTTAAAAGTGATTTGTTCAACAACAGAGCGACCAAGCGGAAACTGGATGATTCCATTCAGGATAGCTACTTTGAGACTCCAGCAAAGAAACCAGAAATCAGTTGCAATGTGTCAAGGCCAGATGAAGACCGTTTCATATCCCACGACAGTCCTCTCATGGGACAAACCCCCCATCTTGGCCAATCTCAGGCCTCACCGTTTGCTAAAACGCGGCCCATCAAATTGACAACCAGTGAATCTGTGAGTTTGGAACATGTGGCATGTAAGTCCAGGTGGGAACCATGCAGTCTGGCAGGGACTGATCCATGTTTGAGCAAATATGAGGTTGTACCTCATCACCCCGTCTTTGAGTCCGAAGTTAACAAGCTCCTGTGCCTCAATCTCCCTGAGCCCTGTAAAAGCGATAAAACAGATGAAGATGTTGATAAGGGTTATTTGTCCATGTGCCTCACTCCGTCACTCCAGTCCCCGCTAGGCTGTAGTCCAATTCTACAGGCGGCTGAGGACAAGAGCCGTCCCCCATCCAAACTTTCTCACTCACTGAAAGGTGCAGAACCTGACCTAGGTGGACTGTCATTGGACTCCGCTGTAGAATCTTTTGGCGGCGATGTGGAGGAGGTGTGGGATATTGGTCCCCCCGTTTTAGAATCATCTGTGTGCGGAAAGGAGGAGCGCAGTCTTTGGAACCCACAAAATCCTGACAAGGAGGAGTTGTACACATCAAGACCCAGTACCAGTCCAGTCTCCATCCTTCCTGGGAGGTTAGTACTCAAGCACCTTCCACACTAGCACATTACTTTGGAGAGTAATGCAATATTGCAGGGGGGTGGGGAGGTTGTTTTTTTTCTTAGTCTTGAAGTTTAAAATCATCGCAGATGAGAAGCTCTCATAACTACCTGAGGAAACCAACTTAATTTAATTTTCACTTGTTGCAGATGTCATGACCAGGAGTCCCAATACTTTTTTTGGCACTGTTTTCCAGGCGGGTGGCACTCAACACTGAAGCAGATTGGGAACGAGAGAAACAAATGTATGTCCAGCTGGTTCACAAACATCTTAGTGAGGCTTCAGATGCTGCTCAAGGTAACGTCGGGGCCTCATTTGAGCCACCACACAGGGGGCACCTCAGTCACAACTCCAACACTGTTACTTTTCAAAGTTTTGACAATGCTGATGTCTTTTCTAAAGAAGCCGTTCGTGAAATGGAAGGTCTTTTGACACAAGTGGTGTACGATTCCTCCGGAAGACAGTGGCAACATCTCTCTGACCTCACGCGCAGGTATACCTTCTCTGGTGCATTTTACTCCCAGGACGCAAGGAATTTTACATGAAAATTGCACTTCCCTTCAGGAACTACAGGGCACACTACGTACCGAAAATATCCCTCGTTGAATGGCAAGCCAAGAGCTTGGGAACGCACAAGCGTTTTGAAAAGGTGCAGAAAATCTTTGAAAGAAGTTCCATTTCCTAACTTTTTTTTTAAACAATTGTTGTGATGTAACTTTTTTTTTTAACAATTGTTGTGATGGTCGCACTTATGTTTGCACTTTTTAGAAATAAGTTTGCAGTGTTTCAAAACTAAATGCATGTTGTGTTTAAGGATTACAAATTAGAATGCTGGAATTAGAAATTTTAATGCTTTAGCATATGTGGACGAAAAAGCACATCTGTTGAGTTCCTGTAGAAATTATACAGTTCAATAACCAACATTGCTTTTTGAGCATCTTAGTATTTGTGATTTTACTAGAGTTCATGTTTTGTTACATAAATCTTGAAAGTTAACGCATGTTTTTGTACTTGCTGTGAGGAATTTTCTCCTGTTCAGATGTCCAATCCTTTGCGTGTATATGTGTATATGCATCATCGGATTAAATGCTGTGTAAATCAAATGATAGTTGTGTTTGCCTCAGTTATTTCATGATAGAAGATTCTTTTGTAGTTTTTTTTTTTAACTATTACTCAACTCAACTATATTTATAGAGCACTTTCAGACAGCCATCGCTGCATACAAAGTGCTGTACACGGAGCGACTACCATATACCAGAGTAAAGCAACAAATCGGTAACAAAGATGGTAGAAAGCACCAAACAGCAAAACCAAGAACAAATCTGAGTCAAATGCCAAAGAATACAAGTGAGTTTTGAGGCGGGTTTTAAAGATGGGCAGCGAGGAGGCTTGCCGAATGTTCAGTGGGAGGTCATTCCAGAGAGAGGGACCAGCTGAATAATGGTAAATTAAAATTTGACCTTATAAATATAAATTTTCAAAACCAAAATGGTACACTTATTGACAATGTTCTGGTTCTTGGTATAGCTGAGATCTGTAATTGACTACACAATGCAATTAAGTATAGCGAATTGCTAGCTGAAACATGTAACTCAATGTGTAACAGTTGACCACTTTGGCAGATTCTGAAACCTGAGCATTCAGCATCAAAATAAGGTTAAAAAATCAAAATGACTTTACAAACAAAATGTAGGGACAACTGTACATAAGCAAACAAACTGTCTTGAAATTTAATGTAAATTTGTTAAGTTAAATTCATTCAGCAAACAACAAGGTACAAAAATAACACTGAAGAGTGAATCCGAAAAATAAATCATTGCACCAACAGTTGGTGAATACACTGGCGTCCAATCCTTTTTGGAATGGTTCTCTGAGTGAATGTGGCTTCTGAAGTTTGCAAACCGAAAAACAAAGTAATAAAGCCATCTTGAATCTACAGGTATGTAAATGTTGTTGTTCCACCAACATGTCTGTGTGGGTACACTTGTTACGGTCAATTTTAGCAGCTTTCTTAACGCTTTGTGTTTAATGCAGGTAAGAAAGGGTACTCCGCTGTATTCAAGGTATCAAGGCATGGGTAACAAATAATTTGGACATGAAATTCCCTTACATGAAAGATGTCATTTTAAACATGGAAACATGCACTGTGCCAAAAATAGATTTTGCATTTGGAAAAAAATAGGATTGTCATTTGCTTATATCTCTTAGCATATATATATATATATATATTTTTTTTTTTTTTTACAAAGACGTTCATACTTTTCCTTAAAGCGTATATTGCCCAACAAGAAGCAAAAGCCTTGGTATAAAGTGTTCACGTACACAGACTCTTAAACATGTTTGCAAAAAAATATATATATATACCACAAACACAATACATACAGTGAATGGATAAGGAGAAGTAACAAGAAATAATACACTGAGTGTAACAAACAGGCTGCACATTGTAGAAAAGAAACTCGTTTTATCATTTCATATTGCTTTGGCCTGTTGAGTGCAAAGCCTGCTCGTGTCACCCTTCTCGAGTTGAGTCGATGCAGAAGCGCCCAAGAGCCGCCCCAGTCTGAACCACCAGGGGACATCAACGGGCTGCGGAGAACCCACTTGACTGTCTCGTCTTTTCCCTGCCGGTCTCTTTGGGCGGAGGCTTTCAATTAGAACCCCGGAGAGTCTTTTTGTGCTGGAAAGTCTGTGTCTTCCTGGTCCCATTTGCCTGGCGACAGGCAGTCATCAGTGGTGAAATCCTGAGGGTTTACCCCAATGTCCAGGACCTGGGGGTTAGTGCGAGACTCAGCGAGTCTGAGAGGGGACACAGCAAGAGACATTTGAAAGGACGGGATTAGAAACGTACACGGCAGACTGAGAAAGCTTGGGAACAGCAACATACTGTACGGATACTGGATAAAGATGAGCTGTCGGCGCATGTAAAAAAGATGAGTCGTGTGGCTACAAAATGTCTTTGCATGAAAGGCACATGTCCACACTTTGACAATAAGTTAATGGCAAGAGTGAGATTCCTAAGCAGGCAGGTGAGAAACGTGTGACGACGTGTGGACTATATTCTTTGTCTAACTGCATGAGTCATACAAGAGATCTGAGCGGTGCTAATGGTTGATGGCATGTTGGAATGAATTCGACTACATGTGGCTATCCAGACAGATGAAGAGGGACAATGAGGTGGATTTCACGAGAGCCGATGAATGACATCGTTTTACCTGAGCAGGATTCAAAGCTATCCAGACTTCGGCTGGAAAGGGGGGCAAACATCACAAGTCAGCTAACATTGCAAATGTGTTGCAAATACAACAGATCAAGTTGATCCCACGTTGGATGGAGAGGGGGACAAACCCAACCCAAAACATTTGTGTTTGTGCTGTTAATATACGTTTGTGTTCGTGCACACTGCTGCTTGAGCATCCTATCAGTCTCACTTTCACAAAAAGGGTTTTAAAAAATAAAATAAAAAAAGCAGGTCACTTTTAACCTACGACGACCAGTGACCTGCATCACCGAAAGTTGTTCATGGTCAGCAGTCTGCAATTGCAGCTTGCAATCAGAGCTGTTGCGCCCTATCTTTTATTGTTATTATTATTCTCATTCAGAGTTTGTTTCATGTATACCGGTAATTCAATTTATTTTTCTATTTCGTTCATCTCAGGGGCTGTTATGACTGTTGCTCATCATGGCATGCGTGTGTGTGTGCGTGTGTGGTAAAACAGGTCGATCGCGGGTGGTTGATTTGATCGAAAAGTAGATCTTGGGCACCTCTGCTGTAGATCAATTTGAACAAACTGCGTCATTGGCTACTTTCAATGTTCGATTGCTTGCTCACGCAAAGATCAAATCAGCAAGGCATGTAAGCTTGTTCGAGTTCTGACAGAGCACACGGATGAGCAAGAGGTGACAAAACTGATCTGCTCTGCGATTGGCTGGCAACCAGTTCAGGGCCTACTGCCCAAAGACAGCTGGGATAGGCTCCAACATGCTCGTGACCCTTGTGAGGATAAGCGGATTAGAAAATGGATGGATAGAAAACTGATCTGTGATTTTTCCCATTACACCAGAAAGAGACTGGTTTGGGTAAAAAAAAAAAAAAAAATGAACATATCCAATAGGACAAGTCTTAAGACCAAAATGTCTCGGTTGGACAACTGACAATTGTAACCAAAACAACAGCCCAGAAAAGCAGTAGACTTGGCTAGCGATGACAAATTTCAACAGTGTACAACTTGGCTACTCAGAAATAGGACCATAGGAAGGAAAAAAAAAAAAAAAAGGCTCTGTGAGGATAAGCGGATTAGAAAATGGATGGATAGAAAACTGATCTGTGATTTTTCCCATTACACCGAAAGAGACTGGTTTGGGTACAAAAAAAAAAAAAATGAACATATCCAATAGGACAAGTCTTAAGACCAAAATGTCTCGGTTGGACAACTGACAATTGTAACCAAAACAACAGCCCAGAAAAGCAGTAGACTTGGCTAGCGATGACAAATTTCAACAGTGTACAACTTGGCTACTCAGAAATAGGACCATAGGAAGGAAAAAAAAAAAAAAAAGGCTCGGTTCAATGAGGATGGACTTAGATTGCAGCTCCCTGTGCCCAGGTCCATTTTTTTTAAATTCACTCTAATCCCTAGGCTGCAGTCACACGATGCATTAATGTCACTCAGATGATACGTTTACCTTTTTTTCTGAATAACAGAAGCAAATTTTTAAAAATAAAATTAAAAAGGGGAGGAAAATCCATCCCGTTTATTTAGTGGGTGGAAGGAGGGGAAGGAGGGGGGATCCCACATTAAGGAAAATTTTTGGACATAAAATAATGAAGTCCACAATTATGAGCACCCTAACAATATTTTGTACAACCCTGTTTTTGCCAACAAAACAGCACGTAATCTTCTCCAATAATATTTCACAAGATGAGAGGCTACAGAAAGAGAGCTCCTCAACCATTTCTCTTTGCACACTCTCTGAATCATGCAGTGACCTGAGTCCTCTCCTCTGCACTCTCCTCCTTAAGTGTACTCCGTATCTTTTTAATGGGGTTGAATTCGGAGGACTGAGATGGCTATGAGAGAAGCTTGATTCGGGGTCTGGTGAATCGTGTGAAATTTTCAGTATGAGAGCATGCTTCTGCAATAATTTATTTTAAGGCTTTTAACCAGGGCTGCCCATAATTATGGAGGGCACCGTGAATGCACATACACCTTTATTTGTGTCACAAACATAATTGAAACAACTAACTCTCTAAAATTGTGGACAACAGCGAATATGCGTTGTGGCATCATCGGCGTAAGCAACATGATGGAATCGACCGAACTATTGTTTACAATGCAAGATGTCCTATGTCGCCGTGTTCCCTTTTGAGTTTTTGCCACGTTTAGGGGTTAACGGGGTTAAAGGAATTGTGCTTTTTGAAATATATGTGGGAGAGGAGGGGTGAGGGGGGGGGCTGTGCTCGTGGTCCGTTTGTTTCCCATAAATCTCTTTTCGCAGCATAGTCAATCACTCGGAAGACTCTGACGACTTTGCCATGGAGTGCTGTTTCGAAGCCAAAACAGACAGTAACACAACAAGAGGAGCACCGAGTGTGCTGTGAAAGTGATGAGACGGCCTTTACGCCTGCTGGAGTCGCGAGGGGGCTCGAAGCTGTTTGAGCTGATACCACGAAGATTAATTCTAAAACTTGAAGCATTGATACAGTTGATACTTCAATCATTTGAGGCCCCTTATTAACAGTATCGCACCACAAAAGAAAACAGGTCTGTTATTGATTAGCAGACTCACATAGCTGCAAAATGGCTTTCTGCGTGGCAATAAAAGTTATTACTATAGTTACATAATGACAGGTAGCAGCAAAATCTTTTAGTAGAAGCCTAAATTTATTCGTGGATGAGGGTCACAGGTAAATGTGAATGTGGGACACACTGCAGCTGGAATGTTGTATTTTGCAGAGCTGGTCAAGGACGGCAAATTAAAGACATTCCGGCAAATCAAAAAATTTGCATTAAAATACAAAATATCGTCTGATCCAGCCACCCAGATGTATAAAGTCTAGAACGGACTTTTCTTTCCATAAACTTTTCAAGAGTCTAGTCATGCTCCCAAGTGGGGAAATTGGGTGCAGTTTTCATCATCCCCCAAACTGCAATGGAATAAAATCAAAGGACGTAATGAAATGAAAAGTTGATACAGATTGACCTGCATGCCAGGTGCATAGGGGAAGCAGGAGCAATTTTCTTCTCCAGCCCAACAACAACTTCCAATAAAAACACCTTTTTCGATATGGGCAACATTAACTAGCCAGGCCCTAAAGCAGCCTTCAATTACAGAATAGATCTATCTGTGCTCATGCCAGGAGAATTCTCATTAAAAGGCGAGTGGGAGATTTACGATGTTGGGATGTAATTACATTGTGGAGAGGAAAAAAAAAGTAATCATCTGATAACAGAGCAAAACTAAACAAATAAAAGAAACTGCCCTCAGGCACTTGCTGGCAAAAACTGTAGCACATGCCACCCTTCGTCCATGCACTAATGAGGAATGAATGAGACTTAACGGTGATCTTTAAAAAATAAAATACAAATCTGTGAACAACAGACGCAACATACAACCTGGCAAGGAGACTACTCGACCACTGTGAGAGCGTAGTTACAGGCATGCAGACTAAAATGGTCAATTAATCACAGCTCTGTTCAGATTACTTTGTGGATGGGATATACAGCAGGAGCAATTCCAATCAAACGGAAACAAAACACTTTCCAAAAAAAGTAATCATCTGATAACAGAGCAAAACTAAATAAATAAAAAGAAACTGCCCTCAGGCACTTTCTGGCAAAAACTGTACAAAAAAGTAATCATCTGATAACAGAGCAAAACTAAACAAATAAAAGAAACTGCCCTCAGGCACTTGCTGGCAAAAACTGTAGCACATGCCACCCTTCGTCCATGCACTAATGAGGAATGAATGAGACTTAACGGTGATCTTTAAAAAATAAAATACAAATCTGTGAACAACAGACGCAACATACAACCTGGCAAGGAGACTACTCGACCACTGTGAGAGCGTAGTTACAGGCATGCAGACTAAAATGGTCAATTAATCACAGCTCTGTTCAGATTACTTTGTGGATGGGATATACCAGCTGGAGCAATTCCAATCAAACAGAAACAAAACACTTTCCAGACAAGGTCTGTAAACATGATTTTTTTTTTCGTGCCCTGCTTGGTTCAAGTGACAATTCTAGTTTTTGACCCAAGTAGCACAATTTGCACAGAAGCATCACAGCAGCATAATGAAAGGAAAAAAACTGAACCATATACTGGACGCACTAGCTTCTGTATAAAAATTCAAAAACACCCGCTAAACTACCCGGAGAAAACCCACTTATGCATCGAGAGAACAGAAATACCACACAAAAATGGCAGGACTCAGCTCTGTTCAGATTACTTTGTGGATGGGATATACCAGCTGGAGCAATTCCAATCAAACAGAAACAAAACACTTTCCAGACAAGGTCTGTAAACATGATTTTTTTTTTCGTGCCCTGCTTGGTTCAAGTGACAATTCTAGTTTTTGACCCAAGTAGCACAATTTGAACGATATACTGGACGCACTAGCTTCTGTATAAAAATTGAAAAACACCCGCTTAACTACCCGAAGAAAACCCACTTATGCATCGAGAGAACAGAAATTCCACACAAAAAAGCCAGGACTTAAAACCCACAAACTCAGAACTGTGACGCAGACATGTCAACCACTGTACTGCTCCGACCTGTAAAGTACCGGTCACTAAAAAAAAAAAATATTCAGATAATTATATTAATCGGAATTGGGTATTTTGACAGGCAGTGTAAAGTCAGTTAAATAATTTAAAAATGCAGTTAGAATAACTACCACTAGGTGGGAGAAGAAACAAAATTAAACAATTCAGCTGCAAAACGAGTCACAATTGAGAGTGATATAGTGTCAAGTTTTTAGTTGGTTTGAAATTGGATGAATTAATACTTTCAGGATTTATCTGTGAGAATAACATACTACTAAGATCTAAAATAAGATCTTCTCGCATTCATTGTAATCACACCATCAAAAAGAAGGAATATAGAGTTGCTGAAACAGTCCTAATTTCTCTGTAAACAAAGCACCAAAATGAGCACCACGTATCAGCCACAACATTACATAAACCTACACTGATACAATTCCAAATAAAAAAAGAATCTAACATTCGGCGTTTTTTGTTTTTGTTTTTTGGTAACTATTTTTTACCATTGTAACAGAGTGGACAACAAACACGCTGTAGGTTAGTCGGGGCTGCTTGTAATACTGTATTTTGGGAATGTTATTTTGGCAGGGATAAAAGAATCTTTCCCCAAAGATTAATCTTTGATACAATTCTTATGTTGGTTCTCATTAGAGGATTCAGAAGTACCTATTGTTGTGGCTGGTGAAATTAAATGCAGGTAACTATTCAACCACAAATGCCGACTTAAATTTCAACTTCATTTTCTTTTCGGTTTGGGATATAACTGTCTCAGCAATGCGGCTCGGCCTAAAAACAAATCACTCATCCATCCATCCATCATCTGATCCACTTATCCTCACGAGGGTCACGGAGATAATAGGTTAGTCGGGGCTGCTTGTAATACTGTATTTTGGTAATGTTATTTTGGCAGGGACAAAAGAATCTTTCCCCAAAGATTAACCTCGATACAATTCTTGTGTTGGTTCTCATGAGAGGATTCAGAAGTACCTACTGTTGTAGCTGGTGAAATTAAATGCAGGTAACTATTCAACCACAACTGCCAACTTAAATTTCAACTTCATTTTCTTTTCGGTTTGGGATATAACTCTCTCAGCAATGCGGCTCGGCCTAAAAACAAATCACCCATCAATCCATCCATCATCTGATCCACTTATCCTCACGGAGATATAAATTGTCTTTGATAGCAAGTATGAAACGTGGGACTGAGATGATGGTAAGAGGAGCGAGAATAGCAGCATCTTTTGAGGACAGTGTCTGATCACCTGGAAATCCAGACTCAGTCACTGTACCAGCGGCTGAGTCTGGTGAGTCGTAGCATCAAGCGCATTCCTGAGGCGGGGCAAACTTGAGCAAATAGACAGCGACATTAACCAATCAGCGAAGAGTGGACGAGACATGGGCGAGGGGGAAAGTCTTCTTTTGAAATAAATGCCTTAATGACCATGTGTTTCTGGTTATTTCAAAGTGATTTAATGCTGAATGAGGTATACAAACTATCATCTCTTCCGTGCGTCATTTCGAAAGAGGATGGATTTCTGCCACCCACGGGTGACGTTGAGCACAAAGGACTTGTCACAGCAAGTAAACGAACTTGATTGGACGGTTCGTTA